AACCTAGACAAAAGCTGGGATAGTGATTCTATTTGCAGACAAAGTGGATTTCAAGCCAAGACTACACAGAAGAAACAAAGAAAGTCAGTACACACTTGTTAAGGGAACAATCCAAGAGGGAGAAATAACAATCATAAATGTATATCTACCCAATATGGGCACACTCAACTATATAAAACAAACACTAATGGACAGGAAAAATCAGCTAATCACTAATACAACTGTAACGGGGGATCTCAATACCCCACTGTCACAAATAGGCAGATCAACTAGACAAAAAAATCAACAAAGAAATATTAGAGTTGAACCAAATCTGTGAACAAGTGGACTTAGTAGAAACTTAGTGTTCCACCCAACTACATCAGAATACACATTCTTCTCAGCAGCACACAGGACTTTTCCAAAATAGACCACATACTGGCTCATAGAACATGAAAAGTAAATTCAAAGGAATTGAAACTATCCTGTGCATATTATCATACCACAGAGTAGTGAAACTGGAAATAAATGACAAAAGAAGCGACAAAAACTACATAAACAGATGGAAATTAAATAACACCCTCCTAAACAGCCAGTGGGTCACAGATGGAATTAAAGAAGAAACCAGACAGTTTCTACAATTAAATGCTAATACTGGAACTTGTGGGACACAATAAAAGCAGTCCTATGAAGGAAATTTATAGTGGTGACTTCCCACATCAGCAAAACAGAGTGAGCTCAAGAAATCTAATGTTAAACCTCAAGGTTTTAAAAAAAGAAGAGCAAGTTAAACCTTTGTATGAGGAAGGAAAGCTTGTATGGGGAAGGAAGTTATAAAGATCAGAGCAGAAAATAATGCAATTGAGACTGAGAAAGCAATCCAGAGAGTTGGTTCTCTAAAAAACTAAATAAAATAGACAAACCCTTAGCCAACCTTATCAAAACAAGGGGAAAAAAGACTCAAATCCATGCAATTAGGAATGAAAAGAGCAAAATCACAACAGATCCTGCAGAAATCAGATCATTAGTATCTACTTTGAGAATCTGTACTCTAATAAGATGGAAAATACTGAAGAAACAGACAGATTCCTAGATACATATAAAGTACCAAAGCTGAATGAAAAAGATATAAATATTCTAAATAATTCTTAATAATCCAGGCAATGAAATTGGAGAAGTAATCTACGAAACTACCAACAAAAAAAAGGCCAGATCCTGGTGGATTCACTACTGAATTCCACAGGAAATTTAGAGAAGATCTAATGCCACTACTCCTCAAACTCTTTCATGAAATTGAAAGGAAAGCAATTCTCTCAAACTCATTCCTGGAAGCAAGCATTACCCTGATACTACAACCAGAGAAGGATCCAACCAAAAAAAGAGAACTACAGGCCAATCTCCTCAATGAACATGGATGCAAAAGTCTTCAGTAAGATACTAGCAAACAGAATGCAGTAAATTATCAAAAAGATTATATACCATGACCAAGTAGGATTCATCCCAGGGATTCAGGGATGGTTTGAGATACACAAATCAATAAATATAATACACTGCATTAACAGAACCAGGACAAAAACACATGACCATCTCAATAAATGCAGAAAAAACATTCAACAAAATCCAATATATATTCACAATTAAAAAAAAAAAAAACTCCAGAAAATTGGAATAGAAGGAATTTATTTCAAGCTGATAAAAGCCATCCACAACAACCAATAGCCAACATCATACTAAATGGTCAAAAACTAAAAACTTTCATCCTAAAATCAGAACAAGAAAAGGATGCCCACTTTCACCACTCTTGTTCAGTATAGTTCTGGAAACATTACCCAGAGTAATTACATAAGAGAAAGAAATAAAAGGAATATGGATAGGGAAGGAAGAAGTTAAATTATCATTATTTGCCAATGACATGATATTTTACATAGAATACCCGAAAAACTCCACCAAGACTTCTAGAATTAATAACCAAGCTCAACAGCATAGCAGGATAAAAAATCAACACTCAAAAACTCAAGATCATTCCTGTACACGAATAACAAACTCACTGAGAAAGAGATTAGGGAAACAACACCTTTCATACAGCATCAAGTAAAATAAAATGGTTACAAATCAATCTAATGAAGGAACTGAAAGACCTTTATGCTGAAAAATACAGTACTCTGAAAAGGGAGATTGAAAAGGATATCAGAAATTGAAAAGATATCCCCTGTTCTTGGATAGACAGATCCAATATAGTGAAAATGGCCATACTCCAAAACTGATATACAGATTTAATGCAATCCCAATCAAAATATCAATAGCATACCTCATGGAACTAGCGAAAACAATCCTTATGGAACTAGAAGTGACCTAGAATACCAAAAGCAATTCTGAGCAACACGGGCAAGGCAGGGGGCATCACAATCACCAGTTTGAAGTTATATTACAAACACTACCATGATAAAAACATCACTGTACTGGCAAAACAAAAAGAGAAACAAACAAAAACCAACACAGACCTGAAGATCAATGGAACAGAACAGAAGATACAGAAACAACTCAAGCATACTCAGCTACCTTATCTTTCACAAAGGGACCAAACACCTTCACTGGAAGAAAGATAGCTTTTTTAATAAATGGTGTTGGACAGACTGGCTTTCCATATGCTGAAGATTGAACCTAAACCCATATCTCTTGCATTGCACTAAAAGAAAATCAAAATGGATCAAAGATTTAAATATAAAAACAGAAAAAATCTGCTGGAAGATAGAATAGGTAAAACTCTTGAAGACATAGGTGTTGGCAAAGACTTTATGACTAAAACCCTAATCACACAGGAAATATTATAAAGAATCAACAACTGGGATCACATCAAATTAAAAATCTTTTACACAACAAAAGAAATCATTAGGAGAGTAAAGAAACAACCCACAGAGTGGGGGAAAATTTTTAGCCAACTGTTCCTCAAAGGACTAATATATAGAATACATAATATACTAGAAAAAATCAGACCCCCCTCAAATTTAAAGACCCAGTCCAAAAATGGGTATCTCTGAGGCCAGGCATAGTGGTACACACCTGTAATCCCAGCACTCAGGAGGCTGAGGCAGGAGGATCTCCACAAGTTTAAGGCCAGCCTAGGCTACATTGTGAGTTCAAGCCCAGCTGGAACTACATAGTGAGACTTTGTCTCAAAAAACTAAAACAAAATATGTACTAGTATAAATAATTTAAAGAAAATTATGGTGTATTCTCATCCTCCTTGCTCGCTGGATCTGGCACCATGACTTCTGAATCTTCCTCAAAGTCAAGTGGACCATGAAAGTAAATGTTTTCAGTCAACTCAGAACATCAAGACAGCCACGACCACCCAACTAAAGACACAAAAGAGGACTTCCAGACCTGCTTCAGGAAGAGGTAAGAATGACGGGATAAGTCCTCAGCTGGCTCCATGTCTGGCTCTATTCCTACCCCCAAGGAGGACCAACTGAGCATTAGCTATGTGCTTTGCCCTATGGGGGAAGGGGCCTGTTAACCTGTTGCATCCCCTCCTAACCTTGGTGAACAGGCCTGTCCAGTGCCAGGGCCCTTGCCTGTTGTTAATAAAGTGTGGAGGGAGCCGGGGTTAACAGAATAGAGCTACAGCCCATGCTGTCCCCTAGAGGACCTGGCCTGGGAATAGAGAAGCATTTTATTGTGTCAGTGTTTGATGTATTTCAAAAATTTCCCCTGCAGAGACCTAGCAACACAGATAGACACTTATTCATGTGTTACCTGAGAGAGGGGGAGGCAGACTGAAGCTCTGGCAGGGGCGTAGATGGTGCAGGGATTTGCTGTGGGGTCGCCAGCTGGTAAGATCACTTCATGGTGCCTCTCCCAGTTCTCTCATCGAGAGTCTCATGGGGCACTGTGGCTTCTGATAAAATGAAAGAGACCACTCTCTTGCTCGCTGTGGGTGTTGTGCTGTAAGAAACACTGATTTTAATTTGTCTCTGTACCATCCTTGAGGCCTGTTGTGATGTTATAACTGCCATCCCACAGACAAAGAAGCCCAGGAGCACAGACGCACAATACAGTAACTTCTCATTGGCCACAGAGCTGGGATTTAGACCCAGGAAGCCGAGCTCCTCGGCCCTCTCTTCTACAGCCTCATGCACATAAGCAGCACCTGCCACAGCCTGAAGCCCAGGTAGACCTGTCTGGTTTAACACCAGCCCTCAAGCAGGTTATCTCCATTTTGTGACTGAAGAACTAAGCGGTCGGAAGACGACACGACCTCACCAAGGTTAAACAGCTTGTAAAGCAGAGCCGGATTTAGACGGTAGTCTTCCGACTGCAAGCCTTGGGCCCGCCCACCAAGCCACATGCGTGGCCCTGGCCCTGTGCGTGAACTGTCTCCAGCAGTGTAGCAGTCGTGCAGCGAGCCTGCTTGACCGGGCCAGTCAGACTCCCCTTCACAGCTGTGGGTTTTATATAGGGAAGTGTCCCAAATACTAAAAGAGTCATTGCTGGATGCTGACTCCTCCCTTCCAGCCTCCAGTGAGGAGGCACATCCCCAGGGGCTCAGAACTCAGTTTGTGTGACCACGGTGGGACCCACCTTAGCCTGGGGGACCGGTGTCAGGGCATCTGCACTCCCCTTCCCACTCTGACAACTTCAAAGGGACAGAGACAACCACAGACACACAGGACACTCCTCTGGGGACCTTCCCGCCCCTCCAAACCTAAGACAGCCGGCCAGTCCTGCAACCTCTCGGTCCACATGAAGCGCTGCTCCTCTCCAATCAGTCTCAGTGTCATTAGGGCCCGATGGCACACGCAGATGCATAATGCGCCCCCAGAGCCCCACACTCACATCCAGCGAAAAGACACCGTCACCCGCACTCCCTGTTCACCGACGGTGCACACAGCCCCCGCTTCACTCGGAGAATGGGGACCACGCCCCCACGCAGCCCTCGCCCCGCCCCGCTCAGGCCCCGCCCCGCAGACCACGCCCCCGCTCGGCCCTCGCCCCCGCCCCGTGCAGACCCCGTCTCCGCAGACCACGCCCCCGCGGCCGGGCGGGCACTTCCTCTGCCCTTTCGGCCGGGTGTCAGACTCCAGAGGCTGCACGTTGCATGAGACTCGCGCGACTCATGAAGGTGTTCGTCACCCGCAGGATTCCCCCCGAGGGCAGGGCCGCGCTCGCCCAGGCCGCAGAGTAAGAGCCGCGCGCCGTCGCCGCTCCGCGCACCGAGGCCCCGCCGCGCCAGGCCCACATGATGTCCCCTAGCGGGCGCGGAGCCCTCAGCCCCCTGCCCCGGGCCGCCGCGCTGGTGCCCGCCACCAAACCTCAGGCACCTTGCGCAGGGTGACTCAGCGATCTCCAGGCGGGCTTTGGGGATGTCTGAAGCTGCGCGACGGGCTGGGGTCACCAGGGGCCGGAGAGAGGGCCCGGGAGGAGGGCCTCGGTCAGACTTTGCAGCTGAGTCCAGTTGTGTCGGGCTTGGAGTTTGAGGAAGCTTAGAGAAAGTTGTATAGGATCCAGTTCTCATCAGGCTCCTGGCCATAACTCGGGGACCTGTAGGAGGGAACTTGTCGTTGGTCACCGCCTTCACAGAGGAGTGATTAACCATGAGGCAATGTCCAGGCTGTTGACTCTTTACCCTAGAGCTTGGCTGACAGGGCAGGTGAGGTCAGGGACTGCGCATCACTAGCCGGGTCCCCTCTGCGGTTGGCAGGGCCTTTGATGACTCTTCAGGTGGAACCCTGTGCACCAACCTTGTCAGGTGTGTCACGTGCGTAAACTTAATCCTTGCAGTACTGGGAAGTCAGTGTTATAATTATCATTTCACTGACCCAAAAACAGGCTAGAAGCGGTAAGTACCTTGCCGCTCCAGGTGGTGGAGGTGGGGTTTGTCCTTCGCTGGTTCTAGTTGCAGTGTGACCTGTGCATTTTGTCAGGTTTACACATCTGGCATAGAGAAGGTGAGACCCAGCCTCAGCAGCCAGTTCCAAGGAAGGTGAGCTTTGTCTTCCAGTTTTGCTCAATGCAGTCTTTTCTGAAGAGAGAAGGGGGAAGACAGAAATAACGCTGACAGTAGATAGATGTCAGTCCCGCTGCACAGTAGGTGCAGTGCTCACACGTGGGATGTAAGTTGTGAGGGGCTACAGTAGGGTGTCCTGCGAGGGGCCAGCATGTATGACTGACAGTTTTTTGTAGTGCTGGGGATCGAACCAGGATCTTATGGTCAGCCAGTGCTCTACCTCTGAGCAACATCCCTGTCCCTCGCTGCACTGAGGTAAATGGGGAAGGCTGGAGGAGTATCTCCTTTCCAGGGCTGCAGTGGAAGCACACCTTAGTGCTCCTCTTGTTGACTGAGGTTGAGGTTATCTTTCCTGGTAGAGCTCATGATGAGAGTTTTCTATTTCATGGACTCAGAGGACTGAAAAAGATGCAACTGGGCAGTGAAGCCAAGCCCGTCTGATACAGGAACCCCCCTGGCCTTTCCTGCAGATGGCTGCCTACCTGGCCATGTGGAGGCCCCCTGTGCGTGTGAGAGAGCTCTTAGTGTTGAGCTCAGAGCTGTCCCCGATTTTCCTCTTTTCTGCTTAGGCTGTGCTCTGGTGGCCCCTCCTTAGCTTCCTCTGCTCTGTGATAGGCCTTCATCCCCCAGCCACTCTCTGGACTGTACGGAGGCCACCTGCATCAGATGCTGACTGGCCCCAGCCAGCTGCAGGCCAGAGAGCGAAAGTGAGGCTTGCCAGCTCGCAGAGGGGCCAGGGCATCTGTGGGGCTCTCCTGCATCTCCTGGGTGGCCTTCTTTCCTTTCAGCTGTGAGGTGGAGCTGTGGGATTCCGATGAGTGCATCCCCAGCAAAGAGCTGGAACGCGGTGTGGCAGGGGCCCATGGCCTGCTCTGCCTCCTCTCGGACCGTGTGGACAAGAAGATCCTGGATGCTGCAGGTATGTGCATTGGGTCAGCCTGGGCGGGATTCTCGGGGTCTCATCCTTGGGGCACATCAGCCTGAGACAGCTGCCCATGGACAGTCTGCAGCCCTTTCTCTGCATTCTGAGGATATCCCCCTGCAGGGCTGGGAGGTTGCCTGAAGCTTCATCTGGTTTGTGGGTTGCCCTCCTCTCTTTCTGCTGTAAGCACCTGAGGGAAGCCCCAGGAGGGCAAAAACTGGTGTGGACCCAGTGGGATGGGTATGCGGGCAGCCAGTGCCCTGGGGCCAGAGTTTTGCTTTGTGACCTAGAGCAAGACTTGCCTTTTCCGGGCCTGTGTGTACAGGAGGGAGGCCCCAGCTCTGCCCCACACTGGCCAGCACCCAGCATCTGTCTGCACAGCCCCGGCCCAGACTCTCAGCCTTGGACTAAGGCAAACAACACCCCTTGACTTTGTGTCCTGACGGTTTGGAGAAAAGGTTTAGATTCAGGGGCTGCTGATTAGGAAGAGAAGCTTTGAGTCAGAGTCAGGCTACCCCTGGAAACTTTCTAGTGAAGGAGCAGGTATGAGTGTCATGCTCTTTCGATTCCCGTACCAAAAAAAAAAAGAGCGTGTCATGCCCTGCTACCATCTCTGTGCTCTCAGAGGTATCCATGGGGAGGTCCCAGGGGTGGCTGAAGGAGACCCAGGCCTCACTGGTAGACAGTCCAGTGGATAAGTCCAGTGTCCAAGTCCTGAAGGGAAACGCTGACCCTGATTTTGACTGGGCCAGGACACCTAATATCTCTGAGACAATGTCTGTAACTGGCAAAGAGGATTGTGTGGAGTTTCACCTGCAGTATAGAAATTCTAAGGAAATACCAAGCAGGTGTCCCTAGAAGAGTCCCCATTACTGTGGCTTTGAATTCAATGAGGAAGGACACAAACAATGTGTTTTCTGTACAACAGGACCTAATCTCAGAGTTATCAGCACACTGTCCGTGGGTGTGGACCATTTGGCTTTGGATGAAGTCAAGAAGCGGTAAATACAGCTGAGCTGTGGACGGGGCTAGCATGGGGGCAGTGTGCAGATGGTGCAGAGGAGAGCTGCTTGTTTTCACTTTGTATCCCTCAGTAAGAGTGTGAAGTGGCTGAGGAAAATTCATCCACATGAGCACAAATCAGTTAAAACAAACTTGGGTTGGACATGGTGCATGCCTACTGCCTTATCCCAGCTACTCAGGAAGCTGAGGCAGAAAGATTGAAAGTTAAGATCAGCCTGGGCAACTTTCCAGTCTCAAAATGAAAAATAAGAAGGGCGTGGTTCCACATGTCTGTAATCCCAGCGCACTGGAGGCCAAGCAGGAAGACTGCAAGTCTGAGCCCATTATATATATATATATATATATATATATATATATATATATATATAAAATATTTAATATCATCACGTATTACATGATATCATACACACCCAAGAAGTTGGAAAGTGAGTTACCTTTATCTAGTATCATCCTTTCACGTTCCTTATCTTTTTTGATCCCCACCATAACCCTGGGAGAAGACAAAAGTATTGTTTCCTTTTCTGAGGAGGAAATTCAGAATGATTTAAATAGTGACTTGCCCCAGACCTGACCTCTAATCTTCTATCTTCATAGCCTTCCCAAAGTGAGAGACAATCAAATGGGAATGAGAACTAAGCACTCCTCAGTGCTTATTTAAAGCTCTGAGCTTCCTGGCAGGCAAAGCAGTGGAGGAGCAAAGTGATATCTTGGAAAAGACACCCCAGTAGACATTGGTGAAGGTGCGTGAGGCCAAGTTACCACCAGGTGTTTGATTTCTAGTGGGATCCGAGTGGGCTACACCCCAGATGTCCTGACGGATGCCACTGCGGAGCTGGCTGTCTCCTTGCTGCTTACCACCTGCCGTCGGTTGCCAGAGGCCATTGAGGAAGTGAAGAAGTGAGTGCCACCTGGTGGGAAAGGGGCGCGGCTCACAGCTAGGACCTGAGCAGGAGGGTGAGGCTGGCCCAGACATACTCTCTGTCACTGGGTGGGCCCCGTCTCATGAGAAAGAATTGACTCAGCTAAAATAATTAAAGCCCACGGCTGAGCTGTAGTAAACAGAGCATGATGCGAAGTCATGAGAGATGATAATAATAATGGGACAAATAAATTCTGCTAGGGCGGGTGGGAGAGGAATGCAGACTGGGGACTGCTTCATGGAAGGAGGAAGGATGTCCCCTTGAGCACTGAGGGTGATTCCGAGACCACTGATGCCGAAATCAGAAATCACTGAGGACCGGAAATTGTTTCCTAACCCTTTTGAGAGCTAAGCCTGTTGTGCTAACCACAGTGAGGCCATTATGGCTTCTCAGTGGCAGGAGCAGGGTGCTGCATAGACTGTGCTGTGGGCACTGTGCTTTCTTCCTCACAACCAGAGCTGTGCAGCCTGGCTAAGGGTTCGGACACGGGGTTTTGGTGTGCACGTGCAGTCGCCAGGCACTGCAGGGGCTGGGAGCAGGGACAGCGACTTGAGCGTGGTGGAGGTGCAGTCGTGACTCTCAGAACAGGCCAGGAGCCTGGCTGGCCTATGTGACACAGTGCTGGTATTCTGCTCATAGTCCTGTCTAGGGCCTCTACACCTTCACTGGTAGTGGCTCAAGATGGACTCCATCCCTTACCCACTCAGAGCAATGGGGCGACCTTGTGTCTTTACTTTTGTTGCGCTGAGGAGTTCTGAGAACTTGTTCTAGAATCCCAGCTCCCAAGTTTGCAGCTTGCTGCTCTGAACACCCCTGGCTGTGTCATCTTGGGCAGGTTACTCTTTCTGGTCTCAGTTTCCTCATCTACAAAAGGGATGAGAGCCTCTGAGGCCTCTTGCAGTCCTTCATTTCTTTGTCCCAAATGGACTTAAAGGAGGAGTCAGCCTTGCTGCATACTCAAAGTGCTGGCTGGTTGTGATGTTGCTCACTCCACTTCAGCTCCATGACCTGGAGGTGGATTTAGACCTTGGACCACAGGCAGAGCACGAGTGGGGGGTTTGCCTGTGGGCCTCGTCTTTGCCTGAGGCCCAGCGCTTGTACCTTACCCCTCCCCTCCACAGTGGCGGCTGGACCTCATGGAAACCCTTGTGGATGTGTGGCTATGGACTCACGCAGAGCACTGTTGGCATTGTGGGGCTGGGGCGCATAGGTAAGGCTCTCCCTGTCCCCTGACCCCTGTCCTTTCCTACCTTTTCCTACCCAAACCTCCAGGTTTGGGTTAAGTCCCTGGTGCCATGTGCCTCAGTGCTGGAGGTCCTACTTTGGAAAGGCTGCTTTTGTCTTGTGCCAGCAGGGCACTGCTCGCAGAGGTATCTCTAATGAGAAGAGACAGCCTTGTAAAACACAGGCAAAGGAATAAATATAATCAGGAATTCCTTCAGGACCCACTAAGGGATGAAGCCAGTTGCTAGGAGCCAAAGTTCCTTAGGATTTCAGCTCCATAAAGAACACGTGAGGGCTGCAGATGCTGGGTGGGGCCCTGAGGAGTTGTTGCTCTGGGGCAGTTTGTCCTCCCCCAGGTCTGGAGGCACTGGCTTGTGAAGGCTTCACAGGGACCAGAGAGTGCAGTGGGCAGGGTTTATCTGCAGATACAGCAGAGCTATTTTGCAGAAGGCTGGCAGAAAGGTTCAGGCTCAGCCAGGCAGCTGCCAGTGGTGCTCCGTCACCTGATAGGGGGTGAGGCTCAGAGTGCCCAGTGTGGATAACCTGCCTGGCCAGCCAACAGTCCTGCTTCTCTCACTGGAGCGTTGCTTGGAAGAGCCCAACAATTTGGGGCCATATTTTGAGTCTGAAGATCCGACTGCCCATTCCTGTCTCAGTGCATCTCATGTGAAAATGTCTTGTAGGTCTGGGGCAAGTTGGCAATTGAGCATTGCCAACAAAAAAAGGAAGTCTGGGTGTACACTAACGAAGCAGAGGGTCCAGAAGGAAGGAGGGGATTGCTGGGGGCCCCCAGCTGCAATAAGACAGGACCAGTTAACACAGGGCTATACTGATAAAAGGGTCTGCCCCTGAGGGTCCCCTGTCCCTGGAGTTGCTGGCTGCTGCCCCTATCCTCTGAAGGGTGGGAACAAGCCGCGGACTCTGATTCTTGCCTCTAGGCCAGGCCATTGCTCGGCGTCTGAAACCATTTGGTGTCCAGAAGTTTCTGTATACAGGGCGCCAGCCCAAGCCTCAGGAAGCAGCGGAATTCCAGGCAGAGTTTGGTAAGTAAAACCTTGATTTCCAGGTGAGCCCTGCCTGTGCTCACCTGGGGAGTCTCTTGTCTTTAATGGTGGCATTTATAGGCAGAATGTAGGTGCTCCAGATGGTCTGGGGGTTGCCGTGTTCCCTGTGTTACCTGACCTACCTGCCTCTGGACACAGGCCCACTCAGGGAATAGAGGGACGTACCTGGCTCACACTGGGCATTCTCTAGTGTGTGGGCAGAACCCTAGGAATGTGCTGGGCTGAGGAAAAGCTGAGCACTGACCCGCCCAGCCTGTCTGCGCCCTGGTCCCGGTGGATCTAGCTCCGAGGGATGCACAGCGTGGTGAGCAGACGGCAGGGTGGATCCTAACCATTTCTCCCTCTCGCTCTTGGCACAGGCAGCCCTGTAAAAGAGAGAATGGCCCAGATCCCACCATGTGACCTTGAACAAGCTTCTGCCTAAATTTCTCCATCTATTGGACTAAAGGGCTGGTGATGATGTGATATGCCAAGACCCCATGAATGGCTGCTGACTTCATACAGTCGTCAGAGCTGTTGAGGGAGAGACCATGCCTTCAGAAAGTGTCTTAGGAGTTTCTAGTGAGGGGTGGGAAGAAGGTCTCATCTCTACCCTCTTGTCCCTAACCTCTGCTGAAGTCCCGCTTCCCCACCCCACAGTGTCTGCCTCCCAGCTGACCGCAGAGTCTGACTTCATCGTGGTGGCCTGCTCCTTAACGCCCGAAACCAAGGGACTCTGCAACAGGGACTTCTTCCAGAAGATGAAGAAAACAGCCGTGTTTGTCAACATCAGCAGGTAGCCTGGGACCACGCAATATCCTGGGGTCACCCAGCAAGCCTGGAGTGGGGCTGTCCCCCCTGCTGTCATATGGGATTTCCTGTGGGATATGGACAAGACCTTGGACTGAGCCTGCCAAGCTCCACACATAACTGACTGCCCAACAACTCAGAAATATAGTAGAGGCCAGGCAAGAGCTGGGTTGGGAAGAAGAGCAGTCAGGTCACAGCAGAGGCTAGGCCTTCTGGCACCCACAGTAGCCCCAGCTTCAGTGAAGGCCTGGCACACTGTAGTGCGGTTTGGGGGAGGGCCTGACAGGCAGTGAGTCACAAGGGAGCCTCATTTCCCTCTTCCAAAGAGTTGGACTTTCTGATCTGGATGTCCCTGCAGAGACCAGACTTCCATGCCGTTGAGCCTGGTGTGAGTTCAGTGAAGGTTTGAGCCTTCGTGCTGCTGGGCAGACAAGGCCTAAACCTCAGGTTTTCCTAGTTCCCCAAGATGTCCTCAGGAGTGTGTTCAGGCCACTGGGATGTAGGGGCAGATGTTCCTGCCATTATAACTCCTTCCTAGCTGATACCCTTTGAACCTTTTAAACCAGTTTGGAAGAAAGCCTTGAATGAGTTCAACCTGAGGGCTCACATACCCTAAAAGTACCTGAAATCACCAGTGGTTAGCAATGAAAGAGTGACCTGGGTTAGCAGAGTAAGCAGTGCAATAACACAGGTCTTTGGCAGATGCCCCATGGTAGCTGTGCTGTTTGCTGAGCACCTGCAAGTGCCTGGTACTATATAGGACCTCCATTACAATAGTCCTTATTGCACAAATATCTTACGATGCACAATATGAAGTCTAGAAAATCACCTCTGTGGCTGCTCACTTTGATGGGATGCAGTGAGGTTTCTTTGCCTGGTGGCATGCTGTGGCTGCCAGCGGGTGATCTAGTGGTACAGCCAGATCAGACACCTGCATGAAAACATGTGCAGGCTTCTGGGCACTGTCCCAGCACGTGCAGGTAAGCTTTAATCCTCCCAACATTCCTGGGAGTGAGGTGGTATTCTCCCTCTCTTTCTGAAGAAGAGCCTGAGGCCCAGAGAAGTTGAGACACGTCGCCAGAGTCAAGTGCTAACTCGGTGGAAAAATTCATTCTGTGGGTTGTTCTGCCCCAAAGGTGGCAGAACATGGGGCAGAACATGGGGCAGAACATGGTGGGGGGACATGGGGCATCCATGCCATCACTGCCATTTCCAGGGGAGATGTTGTAAACCAGAATGACCTGTACCAGGCCTTGGCCAGTGGTCAGATTGCAGCTGCTGGGCTGGATGTGACGACCCCAGAACCACTGCCTACAGAGCACCCCCTGCTGACCCTGAAGAACTGTGGTAAGAGCTGCGTTTGCAGTGCAGACTCCGCGCTGCTCTGTGGGCCAGAGTGCTAAGTGTGCTGGCAGTGGGTGGGGAGCTCTGTGAGAAGGACACACCCATCTGTTAGTGACACTTGGTACTTAAAGATGGGAGGGATCCTCCTGAGCATGTCCTAAAGGAACAGACTAGAGGCGTGACTGGATTTGTTAAAAGAAGGGCCTGGTCACATACCTTACACCAGTACGTGTAAGATATGCCAGCATGGGTAAAATCTTTGCTCTTACCAGTGTAAAGAAGTTCTGGCCATACCAGTATTTATAGCTTCTGCCAGTCATTAAGCTGTTCTCTTGATGCAACAAAACCCCTTCTCTGTTCTACTCTTTGGGTGGGGCTGAGCCCCCATTTCTGTGCCAGCTGGCCCTGTGAGGCCCGGTCAACTTGATCTCGGCTGCCTGCCTGTCTGTCTGTGTGTCTGGGAGTGGCACTGCTCCCCCCACTTCTTTCCTACTAGCAACAGTCCTTCCTGTTGTAGCTGGAGGATGGCCCTGACAGAGGTCTGAACCTGGGCTCCAAAGGTGCCTTTCCATCCATCTGCATTTTAACAATCCCACACCTCCCTCTGACCCACCACCCCAACACACACACACACACACACACACACACACACACACACACACACACAGGATGGTACATGCTTCACCGGTTCTTACACTTCTGTCTTTGCCTGGTCACCGGCAGGGACTGAGCCACATGGTTGCCGGCCCCACCCAAGGGCTTCTGCTTCAGCAGATCTGGCCATGGCCTGAGTTATCAGAGGTCATGTGCATCTGACAGGTTCACATGAAGCTGACGCTGCTGAGCCTGGGACTGCTCAGAGAGCCTCAGCCTTAGTTCTTGCCTTTTTGCCTCTACCTGGTTAACAACTTTCTATCCAGTTGTTCTTTATATTAAGTTCTGTCCAGGTATTAGTGTGATTTCTGCCTCCAGACTCCAGGTCAGAATTATGGGATGTCCATTTACATTCTGGAATGCAAACCCAAACAGGTCCTTTGCTGCCTTCCCAGTGAATGCTCCCATTATTGCAGCCCTTGGCAACTCTACTGCCCCTAATGCCATGCCAGCCTGCAAGGAACACTGACTGTGATGAAAACTGGCACCATCCCCCATGCCTAGAGTCAACTTAGTGCCCTGGGTACTGCTTCAAAAGGCAGCTCTTTAGGGATGAGTGACCTCACTTGCTCCCTCAATATAGTGGGGCATGGGGGAGCTGTGGTGTCAACACTTCATCTTGGAAGTCTTTTGTTTTTACAATGCTGAGGATTGAACCCAGGACCTGTGTACTGAGCTACGTCCCCATCCTATCCCCCTTTTTCAGACAGGGACTCCGGTAATGTCATTAAGTTGCAGGGGCTGGGATTACAGATGTCTGCGACCACACGCTTCATCCTGGAGTTACTGTGAAGGGGTATAGGCTGTGGGTGATTAGAACTAAGCCCCTAAACTAAAGTGGCACCTGGTTTCACCATCTGTTCCCTGAAGGGCTGGATCTAGGTAGGTGCCAAGACGCCTGTAGCCCTGCCGTCCTTGTGTGTGGGTATAAACCTTTCATCCTTCTGGTACTGAAGTCTCAGTAGCCTGAGGCCTCTCTACTGTTCTTCAACCCCAACCCTGGGGGAATGGAACGCTTACTAACAATAACCAAGTGGGGAAGGCACTGAGGCAGGGTCTCTTTACTTAGGCAAAGCCAAACCAGGAAAGAGCCCAACTTATGGCGCCTCAGTCCCAAGTACTGAGGATTAAACCCAGCGCCTTCCTACTGAGTTACACTCCCAGCCTTTTTTATTTTGAGACAGGGTCTTGTAGTCACTTAAGTTGCCCAGGCTGGACCCAAACTTCTGGTTTAAGGTCTTAACCACCCTTCTTAGCTGTCTCTTCCCTTCCCTTTCCTTTCCAGTGATTCTGCCCCACATTGGCAGTGCCACTTACAAGACTCGCAACACCATGTCCTTGTTGGCAGCTAACAACTTGCTGGCTGGCCTGAGAGGAGAGCCAATGCCCAGCGAATTCAAGCTGTAGCCAGACAGCCCCACAGGCCAGAGCCAGTGCCCTGGTGTTCTGCCGACACCAGGCTGGATTTGGGCCCACCAGTGGGAGTTGGAAGTCTGATCTGTTCTGATGCTGCAAGTGAAGATGGGCACGGGTAACGTGCTTTGCTACTTCTGTGGCTGGACACGTCTGAGCCAAAAGCCTGTAATTCTGCATTGAATAATTTTCTAAGATGGTCTCAGCCTGTACCTGGATGAAGCTAACAAAACAAGCACCTGTTTCAAACTTGGGACATTCAGTGACCTGCCTGACCCTGCTTTCCATCTGGTCCTCACCCTGAGCACTTGTAGCAACTTGCCCAGTTCCTTCCCAGGCCTGTCAGCCAGGGTGGAACAAGCGGAGACTCATTAATTATGGCACTTCAACCGAGTACCTAGACCATCGGGAAAATAAAGAGCACACAGAGCACAGGGGAGTTAACTAGAAGAAAGGAAGACTAGGTTAGGTTGACTCTTTTGGTTGAGAATAACTAGAGGTGGGTTCCTCAATTTCAGAATTAGTTTTTCTACCTACACTTTGCTCCCCTTACCCATCTTGTCCTCCACCCCCTACATAGGTGGACAGTTTTATTTTTTGAGCCAGAAGGACCAGGATATAGATCAGCGGCACAGCACCTGTCTGACGAGCGTGAGGCCGAGTTCGATTCCCAGTGCCAAAAGAAAAAAAAAAAAAAAGACAGGATTTCAGATTTTGCTTTGTAGTCGGGCTGGCCTTAGATTCACCATGTAGCCCAGGCTGGCCTCTCACTTGTGGTAATCCTGTCTCACCCTCCCAAGGACTGGGATTATAGGTGTGGGCCACCATATCCAGATCTTTTTAATCATTTTATTCTTTACCAAGGCCAGGCCACCAACATTACCACTGCCAAAGCCCTGCTCTGTGCTTTAGCATAAAGGAATCAGCTTCTACCCCCTGTGCTCCCAGTGGGCCAAACTGGCAAATGAAGTTGCCAGCAGCAGCACCACACAGGATCAAGCAACCTCCAAGACTAACTGGGCAGACTTGGAAGAAAACCTCACTCATGTCTACAGCCCAAAGGCAGGAAGAGTATGGGGAAGGCAAAAGGAATAAAAAATTGGAGGGGAACAAGAAATTAGTGTTCTTCATTGACTGCATTATTATCTTGGAAGCTTGGTTTTAGAAAGTACTAGAAGCTGGACTAACAGAATAGAATACTACTTGCCTGTTTTGTGTTAACCTCAACCTAAGCAAAGAAAACAACACGTATTTAGAGGCATGGGTATGACAAATGTTTTATTTCAAAATCTCAAATTTAAACCAGCACAGCACCACTGACATAGGTGCCCTGACAAAACTTTTTGCTGTTATCACCAGGAAAGATTATGATTATGCCAGGCTAAAATTAAGGCTAACCAATCAATACTTAGGTCCCCAGTACCAGTTAGAATCCAAGTAGAAACTCTAGACCATAGGAACCCTGGTTTTCCAGGGAACCTTGGAGTTATTTTTTAAGTGCTATAGCATGATCCAGGACACTGGCCCACAAGTTTACTTCTCACACATAGAAACTGATTTTAAGAGGTAGATGAGAGATTCCAGGTTCCATCTAGCAGTGGAGAGGCAGGACTCTGGTGTGTCAGAGACAAGCCTAAAAGGCAAGTTCACTTCTGCCTGAGCAGGGGTGAGGAGGAAGCTCCCGGTACCACCTCTGAAAGACGGCAGGGAAGGACAGCTGCCCTGCCTGTGTCACTGGCTCCTTGTCCCAGGCCCAGGCAGAACTCTCATTCCCCATGCTGACCCACCCGACTCCCTAGGTCAGTCTCCTCACAGGACCCTGGTCCCTACATCATGCTGCTTGCATCACGTCAGGACAGGACAGCTGACAATGAGCCACAAAGAACTGAATTTCACAAGTGACCATGTATCCTCCAATGGTCCGCCACATCTACCCAGAGGAGCTACAGGTTTCCTTGTGAGCTTTCCTCCTGGGGATCAGTTCAGAGGAGATGCCAAGCCTTCTATGAACATTAGATTTATCCACAGATGTGTGCTGTACATACTATATTAAGGGCAGAAGACACACTTTTGTTTTAAATTACATATAAATACTTAGCTTTCTAAACATAACTGAATAAATTCTCTGACTTATGCACAACGGCTTATTTCTGAGAAAGTTGTATAAAAACAAAATGAACTCGTGTGTTCATGAGCTAAACTGAACTCTACAGAGATACATGAACCTGGGCTGTTCCCCTGTACACGAGTCAGGGGATGGTCAAAATGGGTGCCACCAACCGCCATGACAGCACAGGACAGCAAGGTAGGTGAGGGAAGTGAGGCCAGAGGCCCTGGGAGGCCCTGGGCAGTGACTCAAATGCCTGTCCCGCAGTCTCAGATGCTACTGGGTGACTTCTGTGCTACGGGCTGCCTCATCCCTTACAGAGCCTGGAAAAGACTAATCTGTGAATGGTACTACGTTTGGATTTCAAACAATTTTAAATCCCCAGGATTGGGTTGAGGGAGCAACAATAAAGTTAAAGGTCTACACTTTTAAATAGTATATAACAGTAATAAAAACCCATGGGAGGTGACATTATTTTTGGTTAGTTTGTAACTGAAAACAGTAATCTAGGGAGAGAGGCCATACAGAGAAGGGGAGCATGAAGGAACGGTGGAAAACAGGCCTGTCCTCAGGTGGAATGTGTCAGGCTGCACTGGCCTTCAGTGTCTGATGGAGCGAACAGCAATGGGTCATGAAATCGCCACAAAACATGACTCCACATCATCAGAACAAAGACAAACAACTAGCTTTTTTGTGACTTCTGAACATGTGACTGTAACATTCGTAACACAAGTTGGTTAAAGTTCTGCTAAAACAGCCACACAGAAATAATACCTTACTTGTCACTTCCTACAAGTACATACTCCATTTACAACTCTGTCTTTAAAACCAGGGGGAAAAACTGTTAATACATCTACTCAACAGACTCAGAAGTATATACACCTATTAGTCCAAGAGAAGGCTCGCCTGGACCCAGTGTCAGCACCATCAAAGTGCAGTGTCTGTGACTGCAACTCAGACAAAAATAAAAAATACAGTACTTTCTGAGGCCTAGGACTAGCTCAGGATTTAAAGCATTTGTGGCAGACAGGCATGTCCTCAAGGGTCTTCCTTTCAGACAGGCACCAAGTCACCACTGGTTACACATTAAGTGCATTTTGCATCACTGTACAGGGATATAATATTCCCATCAGGGGGTATAGGAAATTTAATTAAATCCTTCACAGAGCTTTACAAAAATTGCTAAAAAAGTTGTTTGCACTTCCATTTTTAATTTTTAAGTGTGCCACTTTTAACAACATCAATTACAAACTACTTTATGACTGTATTACTCAACCCTAAGGAAGAACTTGATTCCAAGGATCTACTGCATCTCATTCCCAAGGCGTGCACTTCACTCAGAAACACCACAGCCAAGTGCTACCTGTAACAGTTTTCCACTTAACAGCTGGAATTTGCAAGAGCCACAGGGCAGCTGAAGCCTCTAACCCAAAGGCATTAACTGCCCACCAAGTGATTTCAGCGTCAGTCCTACAACTCGCCCTGGCATTTCTCATGAGGACAGTTAGAGCAAAGTGCTGGGAAGGTTGCTGCTCTGCCACCGCAGGCAAGTAGTTTTCGAATGTTTATACAGGTGGCTGGACTGACTAAACCTCTTGCCACACTTCAGGCAGGCATACGGCTTTTCACCTGTATGAACACGGATGTGCTTCTTGCAATCTGTCAAAGTCAGAAAAGTTTTGCAGCAGATTTTGCAGGCATACTTGCGAGCTCCCTCTACAACCAAGACATTGTGCTCTGATAAGGCCTTCTTGCACTTTGACAGGACATCAGCAGATGCCCTGGTCAACTGCGGAGGGCCAGGCTGGGAGGGATGGCTATTTTCAAATGAGGACGTGGCCCCATTCATCATTAGTTGGGAAGTGGCAGAGTTTTCTGGCATTTGTGAACTCCTGACGGATGTTACAACTGGCATTTTGGGAGCTATGCGGCGGTAGTATGGAAAGTTACTGGCTCCTCCTCTTGGGGAACCCATCATTACTCTGGAAAAGGAGGAATGGAGTCCCAAACCAGACCTGGAAAAATCCATCCCAAACTGCTCTCCCTGGTAGCCTGAGGTCTGCACACATGGCAGGCCCATCACCTCCTGCATGGGCCTGACAAAGTGTGAGTCTGCTGGCTCACTGAATGGGTTCTCCACATGGGAGCCAGGGGCAGAGGAGGAGCTGCCTGCAGGCCCAGCTTCCGGACTCAGCAAGTACGGGGCCTCACCTTCCAGCCGGCAGTCGCTAGTGGTGTTTGGGATGTTATCATCATTGTTCTGATTTGCACTGAAGTTACTTCCTCTGCTCTTGTTGAGAAAATTTGAAATACTAAACGTGGACTTATGTTCAAGGTTATTTGTGACTTCCAAAATGTGGATGTCACCTACCCTGTCTGTGCTGGACTGGGGATCTGAAAAACTCCGATCACTGCTTTCAGGGCTAAGGTCTATCTTCTCAGCACTGACCACCACTCCTTCCACTTCCACAGACTCGCTGCCTTCTGCTTGGGAAGTCACATCGCTCACTTCATCTTGAGGCTCAGGCGAGCTCAGGGGCTCAGATTTAACCACCACTCTCATGTGCTCCTTCTCACCAAGACCAACCTCAGCATTTTCACACTGGAAACCACTTTTCTCAGTTGCCGCTTCCTGCTCAAAACTAGTCTCAACCTGAGTTGCACGGGAGGCCATTGACAATTGTGCCATGTTGCTGGCACTGTTGTCAGACTGGCTGGGCACCTGGGCATCTTCTTGAGCACCAAAAGACTGGTCAAACATGATAGAACTGTCTTCCTGGTTGTCAGTCATTCCATCAGGTTTAGGATTATCCACAATTTTCAGAGAATCTGGTGAAAAGAACTCCTCCCGGGAATGAACCCCTGAAGGCCCGTTCTCTGGTGCGACATCTGAAATGGCAGACTCATCCATGGAGGGCCGGAGGCGCTGCCTGGCCCGCTCCTCTGCAGACTGCTTGCGCTTATGAAGGCGTCTCATAGGGAAGGGCGTGCGCTGGTCCATGTTACTGCGCATCGATGAGCTCATGGAGGCTGGCTGTTCCTCGCCACTCTGGCTAGAATTGAGGGCTGAGCTCACAATGCTTAGTCCCAGCTGCTGCAGCATAAAGGAGCGCTGCATGCGGGCGCTCTGCTCCTGTATGCGCTCACTGGGGGGAGACATGGGCAGTGTCCTTGTTGTAAGGTAATGTTTACATGCCTTAACAACAGAGTTCAAATGCAGGTGAGAGGCTGCCAATAAGACATCCATAACATTGCTCTCCCCCAGCATGAGGGTGGAGGTATACATCATGTCAATCAGTGCAGCAAAGGCCTCTGCTGTCACTACCTCGCTATCAAGCTGGATCATATTCATGGTCTGATCTCCTTCTGCCACTGAGAACAGAGCTCGGAAATGTGTGCTGCATGCTGCCAGCACAGAACGGTGGGCTTTGAAATGTCTATTCCCCACTACAATGACACAATCGCAGAGCTGGCCATGAAGTCTCTGGTAGTTCAGCTGCTGGAAAATCTGTTCAAAGTGACCAGGAAAATCCATGATCCTACCGGAAAGACAAAGAAAAAAAAAGTGTTAAGACTTAATGATTTGAATGGCCAAACCTAGACCTTTTCAAGCTTGTGATGTTGCTGACGATGAGCATACACATAAAGAACTTGTCAAATAAAGGGAAGATTCAGCTTTTATCCCCAGGAGCATGCAGCAGCACACACACAGGCTCGTTCACTGGCTGCCCGTCACAGTTCATGTGAACCATTTACAACAATGAGGGATGGTGTTAGAAAAGACCAATGTGTGGTGAGGCCATCTCTCTGCCACAGAAGAAGTTTGTTGGCATTTTGCAATCCCTGAGGACAGTGAATTATCACCAAGACATTCCAAAGAGTCTTAGAAACCTTAAATAAGTGAAAAGGGAAAATTAACATTAGCAGGGAAGATTTCCAGATAGTGATGATTATAGATTGCACACGTGCATTTGTACCTAGTCAGTGGTAAAACCCCGTTAAAAACATGCTTTTCTTTTTGCTTTAAAGGAATAAATTCGGCAAAGCGCCTGCCTGGCAAGCGCAAGGTCGTGAGTTCGGTTCTCGGTATCGGAGAAAAACCAAAAAAAAAACAAAGAAAGGAATAAATTGTCAAAAACCCTTTAACGTATAAGCCCTAGAAAAAAACAGAAGGGGAAAGAAGACACCAAAGCACTTTGGAACTTGGGGAGTGGGTAAATGTGTGCAAAATCAGCATACCCAAAATGCTACCTCCTAGTGAATAAGACAACATATATGAACCCTTTCCCCAAAGTTTCATGAACTGGTGGCTCAGGTAAAAGTAAGACTAAGGACACCTGGCTGAAAGTCTATTCAGATGACCATAAACTGCATGCACTGTAAACATATACTAATAAAATATAATTTTTTAAAAAAGAAGTAAGACCAATTTCCCAGACTAAAAAATTTGCTTATGAAAGCTAAAAAAGCCCACCAAACGCTCAACATTATGCATGAACAAATCCCCACAGGTGGCTCATCACAGTGACATTTTACAACACTGGGATTAAAGACCGATATATGGTCTCTGAAGACCTCAGTTTGAGGGAGCAGAAACAGGGATAAAATTTATATCCAAAGCTATAATGAAAGCCAAAAGATGAAAGTGCCTTCAAAATTCTCAAGAAATTTATTTCCAGCTTAGAATTCCACAGCTAGCCAAACTTTTAATCAGTTATGAAGGTAAACGAAGGCATTTTCAGGCAATCAAGAACCCAAATGTTTACCTCCCACATCTCAGGACATTACTAAAAGACATGTGTAAGTAAGCTGAAAATAAACCAAGGAAAGGAAGCAGTGTAGGAAAAGGGGGACCCACCACAGAAGGTGAAGAAGGCAAATCTACATGTAATAGTAAAGCTCAAAATTAAAAACTAGGCTGTGGTTCTGGTGAGCAACCAGTTCAGACTGAAGCAGGAAGACCAAGGAAGTCTCCAAGAGTGTTGGGGCAGGGAATAAATCACCTACACAGATAGCTGAGAGTGCCGAGTTTTTAGCAACTTCATCATAGTGAGACTATATGTCACTTAAAAAAAAAAAAAAGAAAAATTTCAAATGAGCCAATGATTAATTCCAGGAAAAACAAGAAGTTGTTTAGTTCTACCACACCATGTGATTCATTTGTGGACAATATTTACATAGTCAAAATAATATGAACACAGAACCAAATTTGAACTAGCTGGAGAGCGATGAGAGGAAAATTTGTGTGGGAGGTGGGGCAGAGGAGAAGTGGTATAGTAACGTTAAATCCTCACCTGCCCTATTAGTCGAGAAACATGGTTGGACATTGGTTATCTGAAAAATGGTAAAATAAGTATATATTACTTAGAAATACAGAAACATCTGAAACAACTAAATGTGGTTGCTTCTAAAGACTGGGAGTTTTGGAGGGGACTGGGGGGTGTGTGTGTGTATAAGCTATAAGCCTTAACTATGTGGCTTTGAGCATATAAATACATACATATAAAATTAAATTTTTATCAGGATTTATGGCACATGCCTGTAATTCCAGCATCTACAAGGCTGAGGCAAAAGAATTACAAGTATCTGAACCCAGCGTGGGCACTTAGCAAGACCCTGTCTCCCACATACATTACACACACACATACATACATACATACATACATACATACATACGGCAAGGAGGTGGCTCAGTACAAAAGCCCTAGGTTCAATTCCCAGTGCTGAGAGGAAAACTCAGATCTTAAGGAATACAACAGATCCTTGACATTCTGAAGATATAAACCCTGAGATCTTTGCAAATCTCCAAATTCACAAATATTATTATAGCATTTCACAAAAACTGTTGCAACATGAAAGCAACATAGATGCCAAGCTGCTCACCAGGCTCAATCACTTGAGCGGTATCCTTGCCTCACAGAACTGGCTAAAGTTCAAGATACTGGGAAAAAACTGAAAAGGCAAAGTATCAAATGCACAAAACCCAAGAGTACTGTCCATTTTGGTGTACCTGATAACAAAGTAGTGGAATGACAGAATACCTCAAAGCAGCAGTTGCATGTTGACCATATTCCTTTGCATACTTTTAAAAAATTTTCTGATGACTTTCCAACAACAAAATAGGCCACCTAAGCACATATTCCCCCTAAGGATGTCTGCTCTTTGCTATTATGTATAAGAAAGCAGATATGCAACAGGCACCACTGCCATATTCCTACTTGTTTTACCAAGATTCCCTGCTGGGAGCGAACAGCAAACAGTAACATACCATACCCAACCTCTAACCAACTCACTCAAGGACAAAGGCCTCAAAGCTTTGGGAAGATTAAGCAAAATATAATTACTGTTAAGTAAACTCAAAAACTAAAAGGTGCCAAGTTCCAAAGACGTGATTATTTTGTAACAGGATAAAGGAAGCAGCATTCTGGTTTGAGAAGTAAAATTTGTTGCAAATGTACAAGCTTCAAAGTTGCAACAAGTACTAAGATGCCACCTAAACTTAGGCCCTGTTAGAGAAAAGCAAGCAGTAGCAAACATTCAGCTTTCTGCTTTCTCTACCAGCACTGATAATACAGGTGGCTATGTTGTAGCAGCAGTCTCAAGGATGACAACAGGAGGTAGTGGTAGTACTACTAAAAAAATATAGTACCTTCTGTTATTCTCAAGCCTTCTATATGCCTGCAAATAGCTGTGGTATTATTACAGAGAGCTAAGTTAGGCAGAAATATTATAGGCAGTCAGACAGGGTTAGGCCCTGAAAGAGCCAGTGCAGAAGATGAGAACACATTACAACTGTGCCTGCAGATGCATCTGTCAAAGGACAGGCCTCAAGATAGAGATGGAATGACCACGCCTACATACCGTCCCCTGAGGAATAAGCAACAAAATGAAGATTATATTCACCTGGTCCTATAAAGTTTAGACAGACGTCACCCAGGTGGGTGACCAGAACATGGCCATCCATCCCTTCTCTACAAGTCTTTGTTCTTTCATACACCCTTGCTATGTGACCTGCTTTCCCACTGGATCAATATTATCTAAGTAGCTATACATGTAATCTTGTTCGCTGATCATAGTTTTGACCCACATTGTATCCTCCTTGTGATTTTGTACTCACCTTGTCATTTTACTCTATTAAACTTCCTCTGAGAAATGGGGTCCATGACAACTCACTTTTGGGTTCCCTCCTGTCTCTCAAGAGCTATCTCTTTCAATAAATTTTTCTACTCTCAACCTCTGTTGTTCCTTAGGGATAAACAGAACAGGAAATAAATGTGTCTCCCAGTTATGACAGGTTAGAAAATCAAGAGGATCAGGGAACAAAATACCTGACAGTCCCCTTGGACTGATGTCAAGGACTGGTCGGTGGACAACCCATGCACAAAAATCAAAAAAAAAAAAAAAAGCTCAGGTGATAAAATATTGCTGTTTCATTTCGCCACAAACCCCCATCCTCACCCCACCTGTCTTCTGGCCAAAGTTCAGATCAGACAAGAACTGGGTATATCAACTGTTGGTTGAATTTGTTAATAATAAAGACCAGGGTTTAAAGAGGAAATACATTATGTCCTGTGCTGCTGGCAAGGACCAACTGTCCTCTTTCCTTTAAAAAAGTTGTGGACTTAATAAGTAAAGAGAGGATTCATCTCCAGTTCCCTCCTCTATGTGGGACCCTCTAGAATTCCTACACTCAGCTTATAACCCCAGTACCCTAGATGGACAGCTCCACCTCAGCTGGAGCTGGCATCGGCCAAGCGGGGCTTAATCCTTGGTGCGGTGGCCACAGCAGCACAGGGAAAGAAATATGGCCCTTATCCTCACCTGGGGAAAAATTTTTTTAAAGATAACTCTTGGCACCTCAGTAAGAACACAAGTTGATCATAATGTGTTTATTCTGTGGCGTAAGAGCCAACCCAGAGTCACAATAAGAGCTCACTGTTACAAATCTTAGCTAACTGGCAAATTTATTTTGGCTTCTAATTCAAATTGGTATTTTTGTTTAATTAATATACTTAAAACATTTCTTGTGCATTGTAAATTCTTAAACTACAATTAAAGGGTCAACTTGCCAAGTTTGTTATAAAAAGTTCATAGGGAGTAGGACAGAGAAAAATATATAAAGAAGGCTATAAGAGATACACTTTTGATATGAGAGGATTTTGTATAAAAGTTTTGTCCTGCTAGAAAGATAAAGGAAGAGATAATGGCAGAACTGGAAAGCTCAGGTATGTCAAGGAAAAGCTTGTAGGGTTTCTTTTGTTTTGTTTTGTTTTATTCCTTTTTGAGACAGGGCTTCACTATGCAGTTCAAGCTCACCTGGAACTCACTTTGTAGCCCAGGCGGGCCTCACAGCAATCCTCTTGCCTCAGCCTCCTGAGTATTGGGATTACAGGTGTGCACCACCACACCGGGAAAGGATGTACTTTATAAAAATATGTTTGCCTGTTGGTTTGGTGGAACCTAGGCTGTTCCTTCTAAAAGCTCCTTCCTGTTCAAAAAAGATTGGAGGGCTGTGTTTGAGTTCCCCAAAAGTAGGCCATGACAGAATGATTCAAGTGCAAATAATTTGTTAAGGAGGTGTTCCCAGGAGAAACTAGGATGCAGTGAGCAGGAGAGGGAAGACAAGCAGCCAAGCAAGAGCACAAAAACCCAGCCTTAGCATGATCTATCAGGGGAGCTCTGCAGTATAAATAATGCAACCTCAAGGCAAAGGAACTGGTCTTTCATAGCCCTGCATCAGTCAGTCAGGAGCTAAGAGTCTCTCCAGGGAGATGTAAAACTCCAGACATTTCCAGCTTTCTAAGTGAGGCCAGTCACCGAAATGCAATCCATCTGAGTCACAGATCCAAGTCATTAGATGAAAGAGTAAACAGAACCTGCAAGAAGAGTACACAGAACTGGTAAAAGGGATCAAGAGGAGCTGGTTAGAGCCCTCTAGTATTTGCCACACACACTAAACGATAAAGAATACTAAAGAATAAAGTGATATGTAACCATACAGATCAATGAATGCTACCATTTGCTAGTAAAGGATATTTTGATATATTTACATAGTGTACATTACATTCTCAATCTCCAACTACTGTCTCATAACCATTAGGTACAGAAGAAACCTCAATTCCAACCTCAAGAAACAACAAAAATCTTAATTCCTTTAATTTTAAGATACCACTTAGTGATACGAAGCCCACTGTAATAAAAGTTAATAAATATTGTTTTAACAAAAATTACAAAATAACAACATATTTTATGTATTAAGTTTTCTGGCAATATCACATGACATTGAAAGAAGTCTAATTAATTTAGGCATTAATACATAACTAGCTGTAGTTATAATAGTCTCTCAGTTAAAGCTTATAATCAACAGAAAAATCTGGCAGACTTGAGAGAAGATAATGAGGGTCTCTGAGAGCTGAAAGATTTAGGAGACTAAAGAACAAGGCTTGAAAATGAACAGCAGCAAGAAGATTTAAATGACTAGAAAGTAAAACCCACTGTCACAGTGGCTCCATAGCAAGTATCCCCTTAAAGTACTGCTCTTTTAAATGCCTCCAATAGTTCCTTCAATAATAACATATATTCAACATTCAAGCTTCTAAGAGAGCTCCTCCATGATGAACTTTTACTGTAGACTCACCCACCCCACTTGACTATGCTGGGAAAGCAAGATAGGGCCTTTCTCTTTTTATGTTGGTAGTGGATGGCTGGCTGCTGATAGAGCCACCTAACAAAACTATACATTAAGGAGCTTGAGATAATTCTCTAGCAAGAACTCAGAAAGCTATGAGGAAGGGACAAAGTTGGAGAGCTAAAAAGTAACACGATATGATACAACAGACAATAAAATGATGTGGTCAATATAAGGACAACCCAAGGCCTGGCACTGCTCAATTTACATGTCATGTTCTTTAAAAAAAACGAGGCACCTGAAATTAGGCAACCTGTGTAACAGATTCTATTCTGACAAGATGGCTGGCAACATGCTCTCTTACCATGTGTCAGTGCTATTCCTCTCAACAAGTGATGGGGTCTATATATTCCTCCTGAAGCCACGTAGGTATATGACCATGGCAAAGATTATACTATGTGACTTGTGATCTATGCCATAAAAGGGGACACAGCTTTTGCCTTGTCTTTTTGGACTGTTCTTGGAGATGAGCCACAGTGTTGTGAAGAAGCCTGCCTGAAGTTCAGCTGACAGCTCCCTCCAGACATGTAAGTTTGCCTTCAACATACTTCAACCACAGCCAATGTCTTAACTATAAATACATACAGACTCCAAAAAAGAATCATCTCTCTGAGTTCAGTCAACCCCCAGAACTGCTACAATAATA